CAGTCAAAGTACTAGGCGATATCGAAATTCTGTAGAAAGACTTGTCGGACTTTTTAAGGCTCCAACTATCCGTAACGATTGCCACAGACGTTAGTATGTTAATAACAAATTTTCATATAAATTGCTAACCCCCATTTTGTACCCTTAGGGGTGGAGTTATAAAATCCTTTCTTAGAGCAAACCTACGTCACTAAGGAACATTTGTGCGAAATTTGACGCTTATACATCGTGGGAAGCCATGCTTCGGCACGAATGGGCCGGCTCGACCGGAGTGATACCACGGCCTCACAGAAAACCGGTGTTAAGCAATTCTTTCGTTGCCTTTCACTGACTGAGTGAGGTTACCGGAGCCCAAATTCCCCCCTCCCGCTGACTCGAGCGTGAGGGACTCCAAGGGCAGCAACGCACTTGTGACTTTTGAGTTGCAGGTGTCCATGGGCGGCGGTGTTGCTTACCATCAGGTGACCCGTCTGCTCGTTTGCCCCCTTATATCATAAAAAAAGACGCAGTGGTTTTATCTGTGCAACGGACGATCAGTCAGTGAATTAGTCTGTCAGTTAATACCTATGTATAAATTATAAACCTGACGAATTTATTTAATTGTTTGATTGTACGCGCTAAACTCAGGACCTACGGATTCGAATTGAGAATATATTTTAATTTTAGATAGCCCATTTATCGAAGAAGCTATAAGCTTTATAACATCACGCCACGACCAATAGGAGTGAAAAATGTTGCAAAAACATTGGAAATTTATTCCTTTTCAGACACGCAAACGAAGGTACACGGGTCAGCTAGTATTTTATATTTATTTATGATAATAAGCCTACACGTGTCTTTTATAAATGATGATTTATGAAATAAGGAAAATCTATACAACAAATATCCTCTGGAAGAAGACTCTAGAAATGAATTAATTTTACAAATAGATCAAACGACCAGTGGTGAATATACTGTTGATCAATAATTTTCAATCTACATAATCGAAAAGCTAATTTGACAATTTTTAATACATGGCGGCCCACGGAAATAATTCCTTCCTTTGCTTATAACTAAATAGGATTTTAAATCCATACAAAAATGATAAGGCTGTGCTCAATGCGCGGTGCGATGTCGGAGCTTTGTTAGTTGACAATGGCCGGGTCAAGTGTGCGCCTGTTCTTATTACATGACAAACAAAACTTCAGAAGTATCGGTACGAGTATCATAATTTTACTGTTAAAATACATTTATATGTAACTTGGAATTCTCTTGTGTTATTGTTACAACAACAACAAAAAAATACATCATTTGTTTTTTCCACGCAGAAACTTTGATTTTTGTTTGTTGAAGTGAGTACATCATTTGTTTAACAGAGAAACAGAGTACAGAGTACAGTAACAGAGTGTTTAACAAACAAATTCCTTCCTCCAACCCTTTATCCCAAACCAGGTCGGGGTCGTTTACTACTACTCCTCTACGATATGGCTGAACTTCGATTTCTTCGAGAGCCCACAGCTGGCTGGACCTCCATAGTCAAAGTACTAGGCGATATCGAAATTCTGTAGAAAGACTTGTCGGACTTTTTAAGGCTCCAACTATCCGTAACGATTGCCACAGACGTTAGTATGGCCACCGAGACGTGCTCTCCGAGGTACGGAAACAAGTACACAAATATAGCGTCAATTGTAAATTTAACATATAAACAGATAAGTTCCACTAGCAGATCGCTCTGAGGTCACAAATTTAATTAAACTCTAGGGTTGAGAGCGTTTCATAATGTTTTTTTTATTGCGCGATTGCATTAAGATGCAAATGTTTTGCCCTGGGATAGGCCCTGATTGGGCATGGTTTCAATTCGGGGAGGACCTGAAATAACATGGTCCCCCAGAGTAGGACAGCTAAGGCCGGCCGTCAGGGTGGTTTTTAGTGGAAGCCAGAAGTATGTGGTGACCACATACTCCTGGCTCCTGAGTCGCCGAGGAGCAGGATTTTCGAAGGGATTTTCTACAACATCAACGAAAAAAAAAACAGATCAAGAGCGTAGACATCAAATACTTCTAGTTATTACAATCACATATAGAGATAAATAAAAAGAATTCAACTGAAGTAACTTGAATTTTAGACGTCAACCTAGACGGTTGACGAGAGACTCTTATGACGATGTAAAATTATCTATCAATATAAAATTACTCACCTAGACCGACTGATTGATTCATCAACCCATAGCCGAAAGCCTCAGGACTACAAACTTGAAATTTTGACAGCTGATACCACTAATTAAGAAAGACTCTTTGGAAATTCCCCCCCTAAGGGGGTAAAACAAAGGATGAACGATTGTATGGAGATACGTCGTATACTACGCGGGAAACCGCGGCCAATAGCTAGTTCATGCATAATTTAAAAAGCTCAATTTCTCCAATATAATATTTGACTATTACTACCAGAATTTAATTTATAATCTCGTATGAACCTGTTGATTTCTCGAAACAAGTCCTCTTATACAACTTACCAAGTATAAGAACATTGAAAATGTTTAAAGACTGACATAAAATTAAGTTATACTTCTGCAACTTACCTACCATACGTATAGTGTCCTATATCTGAAGAGGCACAATTTAATAGCTTCTACTGCGCTTACACTCTTTACTTACCTGACAACTCGTAAATGACATTCACACATATTATATTTAACTTGACATAATAATGGCGTTCTTCAACGTCATAGTATTTTTTAAATATTCTGGATTGTTGCGGATGGATGGACGGACCTGTTGGTCTATCGGTTTATTGGTTTGCGATCCTGGGCCTCAATTCTGCTATTTTATGTTCACGCCAAGCCACTGTCATACCACTGACACGCTATTGAGATGTCATCGAGTGCCCATTGGCATCGGTATAAATATCGGTAGTCTACACTAACTCAGTGTCTTTACAGTGGCGATGGAATGGCAGTGCCTCATCAGTGGTGATATCAAAAATCAAAAATCATTTTCTTATAATTTGAAAATATATTACGTTAACTGAGTAAATAGACACTGAGTGGCCAATGACACGCTACTGAGACTGGCATCTCAATAGCGTGTCAGTGGTATGACAGTGGCTTGGCGTGAACATAAAATAGCAGAATTGAGGCCCTGTTTGCTAAGCCAGAGGTCGTGTGTTCGATTCCCACCCAGAAATAAATATTATAATGTGTCATAAGCACCATGATTTGTTGTCTATGGGTGTAACTTATTTATAATATCTAAGTATTTTTTAGAAATTTATAAATATGTGTACACGAATTTTACGGCAATAGGCTTGCTATTTATTTCAGCTCAATCGGTGCAGAACTTTTCGAGTTTTTGAAACGTACACAAACCAACTTAACATTTGTATATATATATGTTAGGTAGCAGTAATAATTTCAATTAAAACACACACAGGTTCACAGATTAAGGTTATATTACTTTGATTGATTAATTTAATACACTCGGAACATAATCATGGTAACTACGCTAATAACACAATTAAATTAATTATGCACTGAGTCTTACGAACACATTGCAGATGACACCGAACACCAACGTAGGTCCTTACTCTACGTCGTCTGACAAGCAAATTAGAACGCGCCCTGTGTTACATGCCTTTTTATAGGCATAAAATAGTCAATGTCGGTTTAAATCCTACAATATATTATATATATATATATATTTATGTATATATTATATAGATCGTTAAGCATGTCACTCAATTCTGTTGCCGAAGAAGAAAATAGCACGAAATCGTCGGCATATTGAAAGTTCGTTAACCTCTTTTCGCCGACATGCTTAACGACCTGCACACGGCGAGCCTCGAGATCGGACTTCGGATGAATATGTCAAAAACAAAAGGGGGGTACGGAAGTTGCATATGTCCACGAATATTTATGGCTCGGCCTGAAGTACCTGGACATGTGCGTCCTCTCCATTCTCACTTATGGTGCGCAAACTTGGTCTTTGACTGGACAGCAGAGGTCCGCGCTAGAGGTTTGCCAGCGAGCCATAGAGCGTAGTATTCTGGGCATATGACTGACAGACCGAATAAGAAATACAGCACTACCCTCCAAAACACAAATCGCAGATGTCACTTATAAAGCCGCCACAATCAAATGGTAAAAATAAAATATAGATCAATGGTTTTGCTCATGTGTATTTAGGGGACTGACTGCTTTCAGTCTTATCGGGGGACCTTTTCCGGTCAGTGTCAGAACGTTGGTGTGGGGCGCCTGAATAATATTTATTTTTTATAAATATAAAAATTAAATTAGGCATTAAAGCAAGCAAAACTAGACTAGTTTTCATGATTGAAACCACAATATTGTGTAAATTTAATAATATTTTAAATAAATTAATACGTTCCGTCACTAAGTGCGTACAATGAACGACTTTTTTTATGTTAAAGGGGGCAGACGAGCAGACGGGTCGCCTGATGAAAAGTGACCATCGCCGCTCATGAACGTCTGACTTGTTAAAACATACATACATTTAAATATATACAGTCACTTCTTCCCGCTCGGGGTAGATAGAAGCGTGTAAACGGACTATAATGTTAGTCCCACTCTTACGTAATAGGGACCAAGACTATTCCTGGCAACCGGGCAGGCACAGGCGTCTGCCAATGTGTGGCAATAAAAACTCGTCAAAAGAAATTAAGATTTAAATGATTATTTTTATAATGCAAGCTGTACCCTGCCACGCTACCACAGACAGACAAACAGACACGTTAAACTTAAACTCGAAAGAAGGTCCCCTTTTGCGTCGGGGGTTAAAAACGATCAAAATTCTACTAATGCGGTAGAATTTTGATCATTTCGTCGTCCACGAAAGTTGAAATGAAAAAAACTGTTTTAAAGGCGAATAATAAGAGAGATGATTACGTAGGCCTTTACCCCGAAGACCATAATCCATTGAATTGAAACCTCATTTTACGTGACAATTGACTGAATAAATTGATTTAAATTGACGATTGCACGTCAATAAATGTCGTTGAAACTTACAATGAAGATATTAGTTGAGTTAGAAATTGTACAAGGAATTGGTATCAGACGGAGACACTCCTCATTGATGAATATGACACAGCCATGTGCCATTTTCTGAGTCTCAGTGTACTTGAGGGAGCTGGAGGGAGCAGATAAACCACAATTTGAAATTAAAAAATGGCTTTTTGTTACGTTAAGGTGTATAATGAAATCATAGACAAATTATATATATGTTATACCTACTATATTACACTTTATATTAATTCCTTTAAAATGTATACGTATTATATATATATATATATATATATATATGCATATTTTTAATGTATTTTTCGTATAGATTTGTAAAAAAAGAAGAAGATATCTCTAAGAAAATCTAGGAACTTCAAATATGGAAATTTGAATTTAATATAAAATACCTATTTAAGGTATTACTAAAAAATTAACAAATATCTAAATTATAAAAAAAATATAAGTTAAATACGTTTTACACGGTAGTCATATAGGAGCCCGTAAACCCAAACATTAATAAATTTAAATTAAAAAAACAATAGAGTAGGTATACAAAAAGTTATTTAACACTTTTGTCGAAAAACGCACTAATAAATTACACGCTAAAGCAAATAATCGTTCAAAAACGTTCACTTGTCACTATGACGTTTTAAAATTGCAAAAAAACAAAACTACCTGAATATTTTTTGCTCAAACAGGGTCAAACTTAAAAAGAAGATGTACTGAATTAGATACGAAATTAACCTCACTGTCATGTTTGACATATCCCATTTATATTTCAATTCCGGGCTTTATCTATGCTATGCCATCTTATGAATAACCCATCTTTGTGTAAATCTAGGAAAAAAAAATACCAGGGCACTGTTGAGATCACAATTCTGTTGTCGTAATTGAAAACGAGCTTCAATATAAAAGAAACGTAAAATCAGTTTGTTTTCAATTAAAAAGCAACATTGTTATTCAACGTTGCAACACTGATACCACTTCAGCCTCTTTTCAGCGCAATCCTTTTGTAAATATTTCTTTTATTGGTGCAAGACTTGCTCTATTACTGGAATTTGAAAATATTATTTCAAATTTTCAATTAGTTGCCATAAAAATCTTAATTTTCTGCTCTAAAAAAAGGAAAAGGATTTGCTTATACGATCAAAAAAGCAATTATTAAAATGATGGTTCTGCACGAATATTGGTTTCTATAAACAATCTAAGATAATAATAATAAACACACACATTTTACATACGGCTGTTTAATCCTAAGGGATTGCCACACGTCCACAAAAAAAAGAGCCTCTACTATGGTCACCAGAATGCTGATAAACATATTTATATATTTCTTAATATTATCGATAAGCCATGTACAGAATAAACCATCGTGCTCATCACAATTATTTGTCATGGGTGGGAATTTAACCCACGACCTCTGGTTTAGCAGTCAGGATCACAAACCACTAGACCAATAGATCCGTTAATATTTTATGAAATCACCATCATTACATACTATATTTTGCCCGGGGCTCTGCCCGCGTGTATGTCGGTTATCGCAGTAAAAAGTAGCATTTATATATAACGCACCTTTAAAGACAAACCGTTTCTAAACGAAAATATACAATTTTACACAGGAGCTAAAATAAGAAAAATGCAGGACCTTTTTGCAATAGCATTTAAGATCATGGTGGTTTGAGCCATTCTTTATGGTCATAATGATGGATATTTATTTACACTATAACATTAAATTCAGAAAAGCTATTTTTTTTTAATAGAACATTGTTAATTACGATTTTAAATTTTTATAGTAACACTTTTCCATTATTTTTTTTTCAATTATGATTAATTATTGTAAAATCCCCATATAAATTATGTAACAAAATATAAAAATACTTGAAAACCCATTATAATAATGATTTTACAATACTACTAAATTGAAAATATTATAATTAGCATTCGCTCAAATTGTAACTGGACAGATAAATAAAATAACACATTCTAATCAATGTTTTATTCTCATTTCTTTGACATTATGGCACTTAAATCTTGCTAGGATGTCTTAATAATCAGTCTTTATTCAGTATCTAGTTTTAAACCACAGCAATTTGTCACTAAACTTCCGTCAAACTTCCGTCATCACTCTTTAACGAACAATTCACAATTAGTATAGACACGATATTGCATTTAGCAAGCAAATCTTATTTAGTTTTGTAACGGTCAAAACCGACGCCATCTATGTCTAAAATTGGATTTTTTTGAACAGTGTCAAACTCATCGTATCGTTTACGTAGTTTTAAGAAACGACATTTAAAGTTCACTAATATCGCTTCCTCAATCGTATCCTTCGGTTTATCTCTCTACAAGTTTTATAACAATAAAATGCACAAAATAATCTAAGCGTCATCCGCCATTGAATCATAGTTCACATGTCACTTCGATGCGCGAAATTCAAATTAATGAAATGTCATTCATTTCATTACATACATATATATATAGCTGATAATGTAGCTTTCCATTGGTATAATATTTTTTTAAATTGGTTGAGTGTTTTAAGCGTGAAAGCGTTACAAACGAACAGACAAACTCACTTTCACATTTAAAACAAAAGTATGGATAATCTCTCTCATACTGTTTGTATGATATTAATGACACCGTAGGAACATCTTAGAGAACCATATTATATTATTTGATAAATGATACTCAGGGACTTGTCTGACCCAATTGTGCTGTTTTTCTCTCTTAATGAAGATCTTAAAAATGCGAGTGTTGGCCTCAAACTTCTTTTGGTATTTTTACAATTCAAATTGGTTTCGATTCAGTAGCGGTTCATGTGAAACTTCAGAAGTAAATATATTCAGTGTTTTTTCTAAATTTATATACTTTTCTTTGGGTATTATGAAAGAAGACGCAAACAGACGACCGGATGGTGTAGTGGTTTGTGTAACGGACTGCTATTCTAAAGGTCGCGGGTTCGATTCCCGCTCAAGTCAAACATTTGTGTGCATGAATATTTAATGTTTGATTTGGTCTGGGTGTCTCTATGTATAATATGTATGTATTTACAATAAAAAAAAGTATATATGTATTTATATCAGTTGTCTAGTAGCCATAGTACAAGCTCTGCTTAGTTTGGGACTAGATGGTGATGTGTGAATGTGGTAGAATATTATATTATTATTATTACAGTGAATGATAAAAATCTATGCATATAAAATGACTTCTTCTGACTGACTGAAATATTAAAGCAAACCATAAACCGCTGGGTTCCAAACTTGAAATTTGGCAGCTGATGCTTTTTATTTTGTATGTTTACAACATAAAAAGCGAAGGGTGAAATTTTCAAAAATCCTTTCTTAGTGGGCGTAATTATAGAAAATTTCACCCTTAAGGGGGTAAAATAAGATATGAACGGTTGTATGAAAGTACACGAAATAAGAAATAATCACGCCGTGGGCTAGTCATTTATAAGGACACTTTCAACTGAAGACTCAAGTTGCTTCCCACAGAGTTAGGTGGAGGAGGTTGTACCAGGGATTTCCTTTCTAGGGTAAACCTGGTTCCCCAGCAACCGGTAACCGAGACGGCGTGCAGTTTTTGGTCGGTTCGAGTCCGACATTACCATCCCATGGGTGGTATCTGAGAGTATTTCCTCACATCAAACCAACTTATAGCGGTATAGCAGATACCTACAGCACTGGGAGCAGTAATTAGGCCACACTCGTTCAACAAAGTTTCTCGCTGTACATAATTCGGCGTACCCTTGGCTGGTAAACTGTACACTAAGGCGATTACTCTTCTGCGTTCAGTTTGTAGGCCACACAGAGTTTTAAAACAGTGTTAATATAAAAATCTAATTATCGTATGAATGTTTCACACTTCAGAATGTTTGCACGTGTTTTGTTTATATATTTTTTTGGTTTGTGATTGTCAGAATAAAGTTCGTATGACTACGTGTTTAAAAATTGTGGGTGAAATTGTTTAAAAAAGAATGTTAGTGTGACAAAAAACAGTAGGGAGAACGACCTTCCAGTAGATAACAGGTCAGTGTCAGACTAAGTAAATGATAATGAAGTCTTTCTAAAGCAGTACTAGTAGTTCGTATCTTTGGGTGTATTTCACAAGGTCTGGTTGAAGACCAGCGCTTGACATCTGTCAAGTAGACGCTGATCCAGGTCCTAGTCGACTGGCACGTGAGGTACCCACACGTAAAAATGTATTTTCGCTTAGGCCTTGTATTAGGTTTTCTTTATTGTGAGTGTATGTTCTTACGTCCACGAATACATGGTTGTTTTTTTTTTCTTTCTTTCTATTTTTGTATGTACGGAATCTTTGAACTTGATTTTCACCCTATCTAAAATGTCACAGTAAATATATAATTTTATAAGATCTTGAAGTAACATATTTAAAGGTTTATTCAGAAATTATTTTTTAAAAAACAGCGACACAGGATATGTCCGAGGTGCGTAAATAAAAAAAAAATCATTAGTTCATTTTAATAGAATTTCCTTCTCTAATTAGACACTTAAAATTATATCATTAAGATATAATTTTTAGAAATAAGAATAACAAAATAACGGGCAAAATAGTTTTTTCAACGTTTATATTTTAACAATTAACAAGAATAATATTTTTTTAATCAATTTGCGTGTACTGATGATGACACATAATTATGAACGATAAAATCCAGTGTCAAATTCTACTGGAGAAGGATTAGGACCGGCATCGCGAAAACAAAGCTACAGATTTCTAAGAAAAAAGTGTTAGATTTTTATTTTTATGATACTATTTCATTGATGTTTAAGTTCGTTTGTTTTATTTCCAGATAAAATTCGGAAGAAGTATGCGGGTCTGGGTGACAGTGTGCTGTCAATCCGGCTGGAGCGTACCCCAACGGCTGGACTGGGTCTCAGCCTGGCTGGTCATAGGGACCGCAGCAAAATGGCCGTGTTCGTCTGTGGGCTGCATCCAGCTGGGGCGGCCGCGAAGGCTTCTCCTCCGGTGAAAGTTGGTGATGAAATCCTTGAGGTGAGTTAGACTGAACTAAGTTTAGATACTTAGAAACACTTGGTGACGTGACTTGTGTCTACATAATCCTCAGCTTTACCCATTATGGAGGTAACTAGCTGACCCGCACATTTTCTTACTTTTTTCCAACATTTTTTATTGATCTTCGACTCCTATGGGTGGAAGCGTGATGATGTAGCTGTTAGGTTTAGGTTTAAAGATATTTATTCTTACATAAGACTAGCTGACCCGCGCAACTTCGTCTGCGTCTCTAAATAGTAATATTTTTTTTCCGTTTTTGAAACATTCTTCATTGGTGCTCCGCTCCTATTGGTCTTAGCGTGATGATATATAGCCTATAGCCTTCCTCGATAAATGGGCTATCTAACACTGAAAGAATTTTTCAAATCGGACCAGTCGTTCCTGAGATTAGCGCGTTCAAACAAACAAACAAACAAACAAACTCTTCAGCTTTATAATATTAGTATAGATTTACATCACTTCCATGAGAACATGACCATTCAAAATATTAATAGTGTTCATCGTCAAAAGGATAAAAACAACAAATAGTTAATGGTAATACATAGGTTATCAAGTTCATGTGCACATCCAACAGGGCACCAGGGATTTCCTTTCTAGGGTACACCTGGTTCTCCGACCACTGGTACCTGAGACGGCGTGCGGTTTAGTCGGTTCGAGTCCGACATTGCCACCGGTGGTATCCGAGGGGATTTCCGCACAGAAAAATAAAAAGGTACGCTAATTACGGTTAGCGCTAACAATGCTAACACATTATATAATATTTTAATAAAGATTCGTTTTCAGTTAGAAAGATTAGACAGGCCTGTTGGGCTAGTGGTTAGTGACCCTGACTGCTAAACCGGAGGTCGTGGGTTCGATTCCCACCCAGGGCAAATATTGTGTGATGAGCTCGGTCATTTTTTCTGTGTCTGGGTGTAATTTATCTTTAATATGTATGTATTTAAAAATATATAAGTATGTTTATCAGCAGTCAGGTTACCATAGCACAGGCTCTGCCTAGTTTGGGATCAAACGGCCGTGTGTGAGATGTGTCAGATATATTATTATTATTATAATTATAAATTGCGCAAGCTTCTTTTTATAGGAGCTGACATTTTTTTTGTTGTGGGTATTTTGTTGTAAAAGCGCGCTCCTTTATACGTAGTTCGTGAATCCTTGGCAGAGCGAGATAGCTAGCGCGGCGCGTGACAATCCCGGGGTTAGCAACCTTTTCTCGTTTGTTAAATTCTAAGCTGGTATGAATATTTTTGTTAATTGCTTTGCGTACAAAAATGCAACTGTTGTAGGTGTATAGTTGTTTGATCGTCATTAACTTTGTTTTATTGTAAATTTTGATACTTTTTGTGTGATAAAGATAACTCTTTCCTCGATAAATAGGCTTCCTAACACTAAAAGAAATTTTTAATTCGAACTAGTAGAGCTAGAGATTGGCGATTTCAACCAAACAAATAAACACTTCAGCTTTATTACAATAGGGGTTAAAGTATGAAATTGCCGATTTGTACTGAAAAATTGAAACTCGTGTTTTCTAAGATTTAACATATTTTCTTAGTTTTGTAGTACCACGCTTCAACTAGGCGTGCCAAAAATTATCTAAAGTTTCTACTAAGACTTATGAAACACGGATAAAAACACACACATTAATTTTTTTATAAATAAATACAAATTATACCTAGAAAATACCGCGACCAATGCAATAGACATTCTTGAATTCCTATATAAATGTTGGCACTCGTTCGTATCTGATATAATATTGTAGTCAGTCAAGCTCAGAACTTTGCCAAAGATTAGGTATTACTGTCGAATCATAGTGTCAAAAAACATACATACACTTACGCCTATGACCCCGAAGGGGTAGGCAGAGACGCCGTTGCCTACTTCTGATGACGTAAACTTAAGTTACATAGGGCAAGCCTATTGCGTCAACCGGGTACATACTTAAATATTCTTAAATTCTATAAAAACCCATAAAAACTAAAAAAAAAGATACTTTGAAGACCAGTTAAACATTCAGAAAATCCAACTTCCTACGGTTCTAACAATTAGCTCTTAAATTTATTATCGTTTATTTTTTATTTAGCTCGAGGCACAAAGTTTTAGATGTTTCAGTTTTTTTGTATACACAATAACTGTTGTTACTGTAGAATCTTTTAACAATAATGACTTAAAATATGCTTTATAGACTTCATCAAATAATTTCTGAATAGTTTAAAACACTTTTAGTTAAAGAGAGAAGAAAATAAAACATTAGAAGAGGCTGATACATACTTTTATATTTCTAAATACCTACCTATATAATATAGGTAACTTACACTTAGACACAAATAAATGATTCCGCTCATCGTGATCTTGGCTTAGCAGTCAGCAGTAACATTTAAAATTATGTGAACTTTAGATACAAATGTTTTTAAATTATAAAAAACTTCATACGCCATCTTGAGTTGTTAAACATATAAAATGAATAAAGATATTCTGAACATGAATTTATACAAAGATAATAGCAATTGTTACCCCCCGGCGTCACTCGCGTACCTATAAATATCTACCTAATTCTCTGATTAAGTATTTAAGATTCAAGCCACGTTGCAAGAAAATTCGGATCAATATCTTGAACTTTAAACCTTTGACGGGTTTTGTTTGGTCGCTGTTATTCTTCTCTGCTTTCGATCACAGCTAATTTAGTGTTTTTATATGTCTCAAGTGCAAAATCATCATTCGTCATACAACGCGGTAGCTTACGGAATAATGCAGCTCCAAAAGTATTTTCGTAACCATCGGGTGAAAACATCAGTTGAAGAAGAGCTTCATACAGATATGATAAGAGTAATAATAATATAATAATAATAAGTATTTTTTATTTTCTCTCACACAGAATGACATATCTTGACATATTAAAGTAGATACACAGTCATAGGTGAGTTAAATCTGTGTGAGAGACTGGTATCTGCACTAGGTACACCTGTATTACAGATTACCAGCCTCTCCTGACACTAGATGCGTAAGTGTTATCCTGTAGGTATAACTTGATTAGGTGAGAGCTAAAGCAAAGTGAAGTGAAGGAAAAATGTGTGTGTGTGAGTGTGTGTGATGCGTGTGAGTATGGTGTGTGTGATGCGTGTGAGTATGGTGTGTGTGTGTGTGTGTGTGTGTGTGTGTGTGTGTGTGTGTGTGTGTGTGTGTGTGTGTGTGTGTGTGTGTGTGTGTGTGTGTGTGTGTGTGTGTGTGTGATGAGTGTGAGGAAGGTTGTGTGTGTGAATAGAGGTAATAACCCTACAACTATGAAGATGATGGTGATCGGATATGCGTGATTGAACGTGATTTACAAAGGAAATACATGGCACTAATATGTGTAGATACGACTATACTTATACAGAACTAGATATATAGATCTTAGATAATTGTCTATTGCGGGACATATAACAGATTTTCCGTTTCCTCATAACTGAGTGTTTTCAGCCAGTCAGAAATAGCCCTTTTGCAGCGATATTTTGAAAGGCAATAGATGTCTAAAATTGCATTTACCCTGTTATATAAGTACCTGCCCATGAAACCAAAGAATTTACCAGAGAAAGCTGTGGTCCTGCGACAATCACTTTTTTGGACCGTTAATACCGTTCTTAGTGCATACTAAGAACGGTATTTGTATAGTATTTTATTAGTATTTGTATTTGTATAGGTTAAGATGAGACTACTGCATCATGGCATTAGTCTCATCTTAACCTTAAAAATTCATGCCCTATCGCTCAATTACTAAATTAATTACTGGGGCAAATTAATCATTAAGCGTTGTACGGAAGGTGATAAGATTTAATCAGTTGCTCTTCAAACGACATCAAAATAAAAGGTGTAAAAACGTTAATTTTGATGGTTTTTGTTATATTTCAAGAAAAGAGCGTACTCTTGTGACTTTTGAATGGATATTACCAGGTGACCAATCTGCTCGGCCGACAATCTTTAATTTGCAAATATAAAATAGGTACGTCACATAATTTACTTTTAATCTTTGGTTTCTTTACCGCAGAATCAACAAGGTAGTTTTTTTTATTGTATTACATGATATAACTGTTAAATACTCATTGTCATTACTGTTCCCTTAATGGTCGTAGCATCTTGCTATCCGTCACAAAAATGTTATTTCAAATCTATGTGCGTATCCTCACTTACATTATAAATGTGAAAGTGAATTTTGATTGTTTGTTACGCTTTCACACCGAAATCACTGAACCGATTTTAAAAATTCTTTCATCAATGCAAAGCGAGTAACATAGGCTATTTTATCAGACCGACAAACATGCTAGTGTTTAAACATATCTACATGTTCAGTGAACTGGGTATATATAATTGATTCAAAAACACATTTTATTGATAATATATTATTTCACCTATGTGCGCTAACTTTACGAGATTTCTACATCACCCTAAGGTTGACTAGAGGAGAACGCCCTGAGCATTAAGTCTGCATATTTACAAAAGTGTATAAACGGTTAAAAATCTACTTTTATAGATTAGAGCAAAGAGGAAACTTTCCTTCTTACCTACCTTCTCTTTCAATATTTATTTATTTATTACAAATATACTCATACTTTCCTATGTCCAAGGGTGACGGATCAAAAATACATAGTGTCACCACCCCTATTCATCCCGTGGGTTCCAATCAGCAATCTACGCAGGGCAACAGCACTGCGATGAAAACTAAATCTTTATAGATAATAATAATATGTTTTTTTAAAGGCCTATTTTTATTAAACAACTATGAAAGGCTGTTGATGATGATCATCATGATATCCTACCGAACTCCTAAGTGCCTGGTTTCTAGTAACAGGCTTGGGCCTTACCATGTGAGTCTGAATAAAGTGCGGGCGTTGAAACACTTCTGTCTAGCCTTTTCAGGGATAAAAGCGTTAACGTTCGTTATGTATGTCATGTAGGTAGGTCTAAAATAGTACATGGCTACTATTTCCCAAAAAAATATTTGACAA